ATCATTATTAATATCAATATTGTCATTGTTATTGTGACGATAATGCGTCAATCACGAACCGATGGTGACCTTTAACATCCAAGGAGAAAAAGTAGTCCTTGCTAGCGGCTATTGTGGGTATTCATAAGTATGGTTAAACTGTTTGACGTATTAGAAAAAAAGAAAACTTCCCACGCGGAAATGAAATAACCCATTATTGTTTACGTGCGACGGAGAAGAGTCTAAATTATGCTACACCACAGACACTGGTTGAAATGTCTTGGTCAGTGAGTGAATCATGGTTGCTTTCGGGCGTAATCATAGCCTAGGGGAGAGCTTTCATCGTCGTGAAGAAAGATTTGTGCTTTTTACCTGTCATTGTTGTAATTTTAAATCAAATAATAATATTCATTGCTTTGCTCTATACTTGTTATAGTTTTAAATCAAAATAATAATCATTCCTTTTCTCTGTCATTATTGTAGTTTTAAATCAAATAATTTTCGTTGCTTTTTTCTTAATAATTCCCTTTCTGTTGACTCTTCGTTTGGCTTCCCCGTGGACAAAAGGTTTGCCAACATAATCAATACATTGCATTTTTGAAAGTTTTTCACTTTGGTCTCCTAAAACTTCCGAACCACTTAACTGTCGAATTTGAAAAAAATTGATGGTGGTTCAGAATCATTTAAAGGGTGCACAGTTATACTGAGGAGTCTGAAGTCACTGTAGTTTAATTTTCAGTTTTTCATTAGTTTCGTTTAGATCTAATCTTGGGAAAGTCCGTCCTCTAAGACCCCATTGTAAACAAGTGAGGCTTCCGTTCACATGCAGTGCGCACTGTTCCCACAATGACTTGACGATCGATTCTTTTGAGTCTGTTCATCGAACGGGTACCCAGCTAGTATGTTATAAATATGTAGTCGGACCTGCTCTTGCGGCCACCTGTCTGAGATCATCACCTGTACTTTGTTTTTATTTCTCACTTTTTTCCTTTTTTTTCTTCTTTGTTTTTTGGGGGTTTTTTTTAGAGGGTTGGGAA